GTACCACCACGCCCAGCTCTCCATCCTTCTTAAGGGCAAAACATACCCATTAGGTGTTCCATGCAGATCCATTCTACCTGCTCCCAGTTTATAGGTACTTGCCTTGAAGATAAGCAATGGAATTAGTTCAAAATGTGCTAAATGCTAGCCACAGCTAAACACATTCTTCCTTCTTGTCACCTCGTGGAGATGATTGAATCAAGGTTGGTGTTTTCTACCACCTCAGAGCATCTCCACAGCCTGATGTGGAGGATTGGCTCTTCTTCTGCCCCAGTCAAACATGTCCAGAGAAGTGAGGGAGTGCTAAGGTACCCAGCTTTCAGCCATTTCTGCAGTAAGCAGAAGTGGCCTTGTAAGGGTTCCCTGTCCCTTTGGCTCTCTATAAGGATGTGGTTGCCAAGATTCCAGAAGGCTTAAGGATTCAACTTGACAATCAGAAAGGGGATGGGGACTAACCTGAGAGCCAAGTATATGTTAGGGAAGTTTAAAGTGTACATATAGGATACTGTGGCCCCCAGAGATTTTGACAGCTGGTGTTCAGAGACACATCTGACCTTATAGCCAAGTCTGAGGCACGATTCTGTCTCTTTTATCTTTGTGCTTTAGAGCCGCTTTGATCTAAAAGCAAGGTCGGGGTGAACCACATAGATGAGAAAGCTGTTAGGCAAAATGTAACTAGGACCCCTCGTTTTCACATGAGCTGACAAATCATAGGCCAATAGTTTAAGTTTTTCTAAGAAAAGGCCGCTGTAGAAATATGTGTGCATTTCAGCATGCAAACCCCTTGATAACCTCAGGAAAGAATCTGAGACCAAGATGTGGTGGTAGCTTTATACCATCTAAGAAAACTGGAGAGGAGGGAAGCAGAGAAGTGGGGTCCTTGTCCCCAATGCCAATCCAATAATGAGGACAGAGTTTTGAGAAAAAGGTGGGGTCCTAGCTGGGTTGCATTTATGAACATGATCCGTTTGTGCTTCAGTTTAGTTCAGTTTGGGTGGTTTGTGTAGAATGGAGCTGGCCCATTGGGAGATTGGGCCAGAGGTTTGTTCCACGTCTGTATCCTTCTGAGTTTTCACCTCAGCCAGTGTCTGCACAAATGGTATAATTATATGTAGAATTAAATGGCTATAATCATTTAAGGCACAAGGTACCCTTCCTGTATGAGTTGTTTTAAAATAGCATAAAAATATGGAGTTGTGATGCTACCTTCTCTAGGGAGCAGGCCTGGGTGCTGGCCCAGCAATGCTAAGTACCATAGCATTGTTTTGCTTGATGAATGAATGGCAGGTAAGAAGTTTGACAGGCATAGCTGGATACCAGACATGTAACAGGGGTTCACTTGATGCTTTGACTATATCCCTTGTGGCTTTGAAACTTTCATGTTTTATTTTCTTTTTTCCCAACCTCCTTCTCCATGACCTTCTCCTCCCTGATATTCTTTTCTCGAAACTTTTCCCTGATCTTTCCTCCCTAATTTCATTTTCTCTGAAACACCTCTATAAAAGCCCCCTGTTCCTGCTGATGGGCGGAATCATAGCCTTTGGGACAGGAGTCCCCTGTGTTTCTCCTTTGCTAGCAAAGCAATAAACCATCTTTTTCCTTTTTCTCAAAACTCTGTCCCCACTATTGGATTGGCATTGGGGACAAGGACCACGCTTTTAGCAACAGAAGGAGGTGAATTTTTTCATGACAGGATGAAGAAGAGAGCTGGGAGACCTTGAAAGTCATTGAGGATAAGTTTGTCCCAATAAATAGCAAGTTAATAATTAATGCAGCATCAACCATCCAGGATCCAGTGACACAGGAACCAAGAAGAAGTGGGCACAGACAGTGCTGGAACTGTGAAAATAAAAATGACCCCCAAATGCAATGAGAATCAGGCCTTAAAGTAAAAACACCATTGGAACAAACAAGGATTTCCAAGTTGTAAGGTGGAAGTGGAAAAGAGTCCAGACCAACCAGGTGTTGGGTCCTACTTGTGTCACCTGCCAGCCATGTGACCTTAGGCCAGTCATTTATTTTCTCTGTGCTTCACTCCCTTCTAGAAAGGAGACATCAATGCCTGCTCAGCCACTTTTTCAGAACTGTTGTATGTTCAAATAGAGGGCTTAAGTGAAAGAAAGTTTTGTTAAATTCAACAAGGAGCTGAAGTGACCTTTAGAACCTAAGCAGATGTGCCCCTGCTGTGGCTATGCAGTCACTCCAGTGCCTGTGGTGGATTAGCTCCAGGGTCCCACCAGATGCCCAAGTGCCTTATGCAAACTGCATCCCTATTTTGCATACCACCTTCTGTATACTTTAAATCGTCTCTAGATTACTTATTGTATCTAATACAATGAAATGTTATGAACGCGATTATACTGTGTTGTTTAGGGTATTATAACAAGAAAAAATCTATACATGCTCAGTAGAAACACAACCCCCTCCCCAATATTTTGATTTAGGGTGGGTTAAATCTGCAGGTGTGGAAAGTTCTGATAAGAACCAGCTATAACACAAAGCCACGCTGTGGGTGTGCATCCGTGGCAGCAGAGGGGGAAGTGGGGGGGAAGCTAACTCTCCAGAAGTGCAGCATGTAACTGGGAGAATTGGGAGACACAGAAGCTTATCATGGACCCTGCTGGAGGGGGAAGAGCAGGCATTTCCAGCCCAGGTGGGCTGGAGTGTGTTGAACTCGGAGACTAAAGTCACTGCTTGCTTGCCTGGTGTGCAGGAAGAGGGATGACTGGATAGGGGCAGTGCCTAAAACATAGGCTTTTCTCTTATGTAAGGAGGCCCCATCAAAAGGTTTTCATCTCTTTGCAAATTTTCTTTTTTTTGCGGGGGGGTGGGGGTGGTACCAGGGGTTGAACTCAGGGGCACTTGACCACTGAGCCACATCCCCAGACATATTTTGTATTTTATTTAGAGACAGGGTCTCCCTGAGTTGCTTAGTGCCTCTGATGTTGCTGAGGCTGGCCTTGAACTTGAGATCCTCCTCTCATCCTCCCAAGCTGCTGGGATTATGTGTGTGCACCATTGAACCTGGCCTTCTTGAAATTTTTCAGATTACTCTGGCACCTGCACAAAGGTTGACTGGCAAACATGAAGTCAGAGGCTGAGGGAAAAGTTGGGGTTCTATTGTGGGAACCAGGTGAGGGTGACAGAGGCCAGAATTGGAGGTGCTTAGAGAATGATATTATTTCATTTAAAAAAGAATATACTAAAGAACATTTGTCTTGAAAAATATTATAGAAAACTAAAGAAAAACTTTGTGTTATATCTTTATAGAGTGACTTTGTGTTATATTTTTACAACTCTTTAAAAAGTCTGGCTTAATAGAAGACAGAACTGGATTTTCACATCTGCTTTGCATTCAGTATGATGCAGTATGGTGTTTTGGTTGAAGTATATGAAGAAAATATGGCCTGAAATAGACTTTGGAAAAGGGAGGAGACTTTAATAAACCTTAGAGGCAATTGTGGATATTCCTTTTTTTTTTGGGGGGGGGGGGTGCCAGGGATTGAACCCAGGGTGCTTAACCACTGAGCCATATCCCCAGCTTTTTTAATATTTTATTTAGAGACAGGATCTTGTTAAGTTGCTTAGGGCCTTGCTAAGTTGCTAAGGCTGACTTTGAACTCGTGATCTTCCTGCCTTAGCCTCCCAACCTGCTGAGATTACAGGCATGTGCCATTGTGCCCGGCTAATTGTGGATATTCTTAATGCCACAAGAAAAGTCTACCAGTGAGAGTTCTGAAAGGTCAGTTGCAATGTGGAACCTGAAACCACACTACCTGCTTGTGCTGTTACATTGTTCTAGCTACCACGGGACCTTGCCCTCTTATATGACCTTACAACATCATGTGTTAACTGTTTAAAAATTCTGGCTCTCTGAGTTATGTATATCTTTGATTTTTAACACATTTCAAAATAAAAGATCAAAAAGTTACTTGTTCGTTAAATATTATTCATTTATTCACTAGGGGAAAAATAAACACCTTCCCAAAATAATCTTTGTGTATTTGGAAGCTGTCAAGCTCATAGTGCCATCTTCAGCTTGAAATCTGGATCTTCAGCCAAGACCTCTCCACTGAGTTCCAAACTTGGGTATCCAGCTGCCTACTTGACATCTCTCCACTATTCCAAAGGCCCCTCAAAAACTCAGCATGAAGAACTCAGGCTTTTCACTGAAAGCTGGTCGTCTGCCATGCCACTAGCCAGGAAAAGATCAGCAGGAATGTGACCAGAAATCCTTGACATGTCCCTCTCCCTCACCACCACCTCTGTTCCCATAAACCCAGAGCCAAGGCCTGTCAATATTACCTGATAGTAGAGTGTATCCATGCCTGTTTATAGACACAAGTGGACACACAGAAACTCTTAGGCCTTAGCACAGACAGGTAAGGGAAGCTACCCTACAGTTGGCTCAGCAAGAAGTTCAGGGCCCCAAAACCTGGACATGGGGCTTAGGTGATATGGATCATTGAGTCACCTATCGTATAAAATGCATTTGAGTCTAACCTTGGAGCTGACTGAGGCAAGTTTTTTAGGTGCCAGAGATTGGCTCCTGAAGGCCAAGAGGTGGTCTGTCAAGTTTCCATTCCAATACCTCAGAGAGGTCATGGAAGAAAATGTGGGTTTCTCCAAGAGAAGACTGTTCCCCATTGCCCATCCCAGAACAGATCCAGGGAAAGTTTCTCTGAAACTCCTTCATGTGACTCCTGATATGTTTTGAGTCTTTTGAAACTAGAAGGGAATATCAGATGTGGTGAAATTTTGAAGTCTTCTCAGGTGCTGCATCCAGTCAACACTGTCTCTGCTGCCTGTGGCCTTCTACCTTTCAGGCAGCCAAGATGGCAGACCCACCTTGAAATTGTGACACTGACCCAAGAGCATCACTTTTGTCACTGTGCTCAGACCATCTATCTAAATCAGAGCGATTCCCATAACCTCTGGAGGTAAGTGAATCAAACACTAAACAAGTCATTTGTAAGAGGAGTGAAATAAAAAAACATGCACATTTTCTAAGAAATTTATTTGATCGAGTAGCAATATATGAAGACATTTTAAACAATAAGTCTGTATTCAGACATAACATATTCTTATTATAATGTTATCAATGTAAATGGTACCTAAAAACACTTTGCTATAATGTGTCTGTATAAAGCACTCATAAAATCCTCACGTATTTTAAAACTATGTTGTAAGGATAACAGAAAACCCTGCAAATAGTACTTAGACGCAGACTTCTTGAGTTTATGACACACCAGTGTTACACACAAGGTGTTGGGCTCTGTGGTCAATCATGGCTACGTCAGTGAGAGCTGTCTTTGGAGGAGTAGAATCAGGGCAGTGCATATGCCTCGGCCCCCAGTCCCCTCATAACACCCCACTGAATCCTTGCTACTCTGAGTTGAGTAGGTGGGAATTCTAATTGCTCTAGTTGGTAACAGTTAGAAAATGAGGTTGGAAAACCAGGGTTGGGAAGGGAAAAGGGAGAAGAAACTGAGGTGTAGCAGGGTCAAAGGTTTCTATACAGTAGCTTAAGAAATGACCAGGGAAATTAAAGGGGGAAGAAAAAAAAAAAGCAAATCCTTGGAGCTGCACCTTGGGGTTTGCAAAGAGGAAGAGATCACTTTCCCAAGGGTTGAGGCTGAGGCCATGTGGTTGGCTGGGAGCCACCACACAGTAGCATGGAATTTTACTGCAGGCACCTGCCTCTTTATCTGGGTGTACTGGGGACATGGCAGTGTGTAGGTTACATCAGCTTTCCATAAAGGAACGGCAGTCAAATGACTGTCTTTGGGGCCATGATAGGACCTAAGAGGCAGAAACTGGTAGCTCCTAGCACAAAATGTGACCCATGGTTAAAATGAAACTGAGTGATGAGAGAAATGGAAAAGACTCCAAAAAACCAAGGAGAGTGACTGAAATATAATCATATAGCACCCATTATTACTAATTTAAGATATTAGATAAACATCATAGAGGAGTTATATAGTATCTTTGCTATCTTATTCTTTTTATAAATATAAATATTTCGGAGGGATCTCAAAATATTTTAAATGACAGATTCTAGTATAATTACATTCTAGATTCATACAACTGACTCGATGCTATATTTAAATATAGATTCAGGGTTATATATAGAATAATTTTTTCAGGCCATTTTCAGAACATTGATCACATAGCTAAGTAAATGCCAAAAACACTGGAAGCATCCTATTGGGGACTTTGGCAGCAAACATGTTTTTATCTATGTATTTATGTGTTACACAAAGATACAGTTGTTCATTTATATGAATGAATTTAAAGTCATCCATAGGAGGTTTTACACTTGATATTCTTTTCTGTTTTCTTATCTGCTAACTTGCAGTCAAGTCCATATGGGAGGCCTATTCAATGTCTTGCTTAAGGCTCCTTTTCTCTGAATCTCATTGTTTTCCTTGGCAGTATGCATTTAAAAATAGTTTCATGTTCTCTATTCAGGCTAAGTGGCTCTTCTACCTTGACATTACAGTCTTATCTAGAGAGCCTCTCTCTCTCTGTCTCTTTCACACATACACACCTTAGCAAAACAGTAAATTTTCTTTTCTTTTTATATCACCTACTTTTAGCAGTGTGCTTTAAAAACAGTTTTGCTCCCAGCACTATAGAAAATAACCTGCAAAACACAACAAGGCTGTTCACTAGAGATGACCTTCTCTGTCACTTGGGGTTAACAAAGTGAGATGAGCCAGTCAGAAGATGGGTCAGGGTAAGAAAACTACAAGTTTCCATGGATCCATAGAACATTTAAAATGTAGCTGCAGCAGAATCTAAAATTACTTTGTCCTCAGGGAAGGATGTCATATCTAATTACTCTACAGAATGATTTTGCAAATTAGTCTTATGCATGTGTAAACTAAATGCACTACCTGACCTCACTCCAGTGGTTAAAGGAAAGCAGCACCTACATGATCACATCATAGTTGCGTGTGTGTGTGTGTGTGTGTGCTCTCAGATCATAAAGAGATGGTTCAGTCTAATAAATGGCTCCAATCTTAAAGCCAAGGCCAAGTACACCATTCACCACGGCTTCATTTCTCCAAAATAAATTCTTAACTTAAAACACTGAAGAGACTGCCATACTAGTAAAGAGAAGTCGGCCCTTTCACTCTGACATGAATGAGCTAGTATTTGATAAAGGTGTCAGGAGCTAGAGGACACAGCTGGAGCTGTCAATGTCCTCAAGGAGTGACCTAGCATGTAAATTTAACTCAAGTGAAATATAAAATACCTAGCTTCAAAGAAATGGATGTAGGAAAATGAGGTGGCCCTAGACTGGCTCATTTCCTTTAGTTCTCTAACAGAAGTCACCTCATGGCAAGAGATACTGTTTTGGGCTCGGTTCACCTGAAGCTAATTTCATTTGGAACTTTGCTTAGCTATTTAATGTGATGGGGATGGTTCTAGGAAGTGAGAAAAAAACATGAATGGGATGCAACTAGCATAGCCAATCAACGGGCCTCATTCAACTGAGTGGCCTGGCCACGTGCCACAGACACAATAACCAGACTATTTAAGCAAGTCATTTCCCACCAGCTAAATATAACTGTTGGCTGAAATATGATTCTAGCAGAAAGGTGAGATGTGGAATCAAGGCCCCCAGAGGCCCTCTAGGTTGGGTGGGCATCCATAGCATGACCTGAGGTGAACCATGTACCCCACAGCTGCATTCATAGTCCACAGCTCTGGGACTGAGTATCTGGCCTCTAGAGAACAACATGACACTCCAGAAGCAGACCAAAGAAGGAAGCTGACCTCCACTACCTTATCCCGTGGACCTTGCTCAGCCACTTGACTTCCCTCAATTCCCTGCAAGTAAAGCATTTCTATATCCAGTGGTTTGGTGCAAGATGGCTCCAAATTGCAAGGAGGCCGAGTTGAGCTGAATATGATGCTGAGCTCAGAAATGCTTCTGTTTATTATCATTCCAGCTTCAGGTTTCAGACCAGCAGATACATGGCATAATATAAGGGCAATGTGAGTTCACTCAGATGAGTTTGGTCATTATGGAGCTATTTACAGTGCTCAAATGAGTAATGTAATCTAGTGAAGGAACACTTCTAGCCTGGGAGAAAAAGAAAACCAGTCGAATTGCATCTTTCTCTAAAATTTCCCATAAAAAAATCAATTGAGCAAAGCAAACCATTCCCTGCTTTCTAACATGACCTCACCCTTAATTTCAACTTATATCATTTATTAAAATTATCAAATGGACAACCTATTTTAGATTGCCATGGTAGAGAAAAAAAAATTCTCCATGAGGAAAATAAGATGCAACTTGGAAAAATAAGTGAAAAAGCATTTGCACTGGAGCCCTAAGATTTTAACAGTTAAAACAATACTATGCTGTATCTAGAAAATACTGTGAAAATATCTATCTCAAAATAGAATGAGGTTTAGTACAGAAGGCTCAATAAAACTTAAAAAAGCTGACGAATAAAAAGGACAGGAAAAATGACTTTTCTATCTTTGACCATTTCTCACTTTCCTGCCCTCAGACTGTGCCAGCTTTAGTGCAGTGAAGTAGAATAATCTAAAAGCCATGAAAAAGTGCTGGTATTTTCTCATGATCTCTTCAGGACAGTTTCCACCTGGGTAAGTTGAATTCTGATCAAGGCAGCTGATGAACTTTCAATGTGTTTGGAGACACTGGTTCAAAGACCTCGTCATCATCCTCCACCCCTTCCTCTATGGGCTTCATCTTGGTAGAAGATCGATGCTGTGGGGAAGACACGTCTGTGGAGAAAACCAGAAAGGAAAACTGCTGAATGTATAACCTGCCCCAATAGTGGTGTGATGTGTCAACCATGAGCCTCCACTTGAAAATAAAACTCTGGATGAATCAATGGCTACTAGGAGGAGTGCAATGTCCCTAAATTTAGTATTTCCACAAAACAATGAAGTCAAGAATGAGTCAAAATGGAACAGATGTGGAACAGATTTCCACCACATGTGCTTAGATGATATGAGCTTCTTAAACATAGATAGTGCCTGCCCAAAGGCTATGTAGGACTCAGAATACATTTTCCTACTTTAACGTCATACATGGTGACTGGTATCCAGTATTGGCCCTTGAAAGTTGATTTGACTCCTAATTTCCCTAAAGAATAGTTCTATTTCTAAGCTATGGAATTTAATTCCATCTGTACTATCTCCTAATGTATGTTTCTTGCCACCTCTGGTCCAGCCATTCCCTGGACTGATAAGGAAGGGGAGAGTCAAGCCATCAGGAAGAAAGACCTGGGGGGAGGGGAGGAAAGTTTCTTGAAAGATAACTACTGACATAAACTATGGATAATGAGCTCAATTAAAATGGTCCAAGAACAGAATCCTGCCGCAAAGTATAGAATGCAATATTCTCAGGCAAGTTTTTAATCCATTTCCACTCCAGAGACATCAAACAACCCACGAGACACAACTTTAATTCACCAGTCTATTCAAATGGCAATGAATACCATCTATATGACCTTGGGACCACTAAGTGTCTTGATTCCCTTTTCTGTGAAACAGGAATAATAAAAACAGAATCTACTTCAAATGGTGATTATGTGGGTTAAATGACAATATTTGTAAAGCTCTTAGATCATACCTGGGATGTAAATAATCACTTTGTAAATGTCTGTGAGACTATAACATTGATTAATATGGTCCTTGGAGGAAAGTGATTATATAAATAATGAGAATATCTGTCAAAACTCACTATTGCCCATAGAAACATCAATACAGGAAATGGGATTTGTGCTCAGTAGGGGTTTGTGTTTCTGGTCTCAGCTGTCCTGAGTGTAGCAAAATTGTCTTTGCCATAGCCATGGTTTCTATCCTATTCCTAGCCTCAAGTTATGATCAAGTTTCATAAAATATTAACTGATGTTGAATATTTGCGATCAGATAAAACAAACCCTTAAGGCATAAGATGGTACTGCTAAGCCAAATCAATAACACAGAGCATTTAGACATAATTGATGATCCACATACCAGAAACATGCTACATTTATTTTGTCTGAGGAAGTTGGACTAATTGGTCTATAGTTGTTAAGCCTGTCTGTCAAACCGGAGGTGATAATCTATAGTATACTGAGGCTGGTATCCACCTTGGAGCCAAAAGGGTATCGGACCCTCTCAACTACTTCACTTATCATTGCACTGTTTTCAGAAATAAGAAAAAATTAACTTCCTGTTATATTTTATTTGTGGTGGTGGAGACTGAACCCAGGGCCTTGGGCATAATAGGCAAGCACTTTACCGCTGAGCTATACCCCCACTTTCAGCTTCTCTGGGAAAAAATTTATTCTGTTCTCACAATATTTGTCTGGGCAAAATAGTCATCATACTTACTATATAAAATTAAAAGGATAAGAAGGGTCTACAACTCTAGAGGTGACATCCAGGGCTCTCCAAGCTGGGCCTCTTTCCTCCTTCTGGTCTAAGCCCTTGGAAATTCGCTGCTCTCTAAAGCCACCCCAGGCTTTCCCTCTTTCTTTTCCACCTCTTATCCTTGTCACCAAATTCCTATCCACATATTCCTCAAGACAGGGCTCCTTGACAGGGTTCCTTCATGTGCAATCCCAACTCCCTCTGTGGGGAGCTTCTAGCATCAATTCTGCATCACATTGTGATAACAGTACTTGCTTCTCTCCTTCCTGGAAAGCAAGCGCCTTGAGGCTGTAGGCTCTTCTCTCCTGCAGTCTCACAGAAGTTCCCCATACAAAGCTAGAGCCATCAGAATTAAGCACACAGTGATGGGGGTAAAAATCCCTCCTCTGAAACAACACATGGGGAATTTCACAAGTTGATGCTGAGGATGTGGGAAACATGCATGGCCAACATGTTTAATCTGGGACAGACCGAGCCCCAAACTGCTGACCTTCCCCCATGGCAGGCAGGCCTCAGGTCCTGGAAAATTCTCACTAGGAAACCTCATCCCCCTTCATGCAGAGATTTGAACCATGAAAATATTTTCTGAGTCTCTTGTTTTAACCACTCTGCATGAGGCTTCTGTCTGCATTGGACTAGAGGCCAGGGAATGGGCTATATTTTTGAGGCTGAGTGACTATCCCTCACTGCAGTTGAAGGAAATCACTTTCACATAATTGGCTGATTCCACACTTCTTACAGCATGGCCAGAGCTCTGTCTTCTCAAGGAAACATCAATAAGGCTTAATAGTGCTATCACTTGCTAAAACCGTTTCATCGAATCAGCAAAAAGAGTCAGTGAGTGATTGCAAGGTGCTACACTCTGGGTTAAATTGTCCTGGATCAGATCTCCAAAATGGATCAGACCTGGTTTCTGACTCTCACTTTATTTCTCAGGAACTCAAAATGCTTTTCAGAGCAATTCATCCTCACTGTGTCCACACTATTTTTTCTGTTTTATACTCAGAAGCTAAAGCAAGGAAAACCTGAGGAAGAAAACAGAAGGGTAGCTGCTGTGGATGACTTCATTTCTCATGAGGGGGAGTGAGCTACTCAAACTAGAGCCTGGCAAGACTTAATTTCTCTACAAAATTCTGAGAATACTTGATTCACTTTTACTTCAGACCCTGTGGTTGAGTTAGAGTCTACAAACCCTACAAGTCCCAGGCCTCAAGAACACTGCCTGGATGTGCTTCTCTCACAGTGGCAGATGTGAGGAACAAGGCCTACCTTGTAACTGACAGAAGCTACCCACTGTCTCTTGGCTGCCTGACCCCTAACTAGGAATCAGAGCCACACAGGGTGCACACTTTTATGGCCATGTCATTCTGGGCCGCAAGCATCACTGGGGCCAACTGTGATATTAACAGCCAACAAAATAAAGATCACCTGAGTCTGATCTAGGACTCCAGGACTGTGATGCTAGCAGAAAGGCTGGCTTTGAAATGCAAGGAGTTCAACTGGCACCACCCAGATATGTGCTATTCCCCAACCCCACCAGGAAACCTCCTTGTTCAATGCATAGATCAGGTCATCACTACATGGCTGGAAATGATTTCCTTGCCCCCCTAATAATAGAAAAGCAATTTGGAGTATGAACAACAACAACAACAAAAAAAAAAAATCAGGGAATATCACACTGCAAGGGAACTAGCTTACATTTCACAAGCTGGCCCTTAATGCATTCCTTTTAGAAGTTTGCCTGGGTTTTCATTAATTTTATGCACTGAAGCATCATCAGAAATTTGTCCTGAAGGCCCAACCATCTTACATAAATGCAAGGAGAGAGGAAGAAATGGAGCTTATCATTAGTTAAGTGCCTTTTACATTACTTTTGCCCTTCAAGGACCTTACTAGGATATCTACAACCTCTGAATAATGCTTTGCTTCTCATTGACTCTAAGTTTTAGAGGGGCAAACAATTCCATATCCATAAATTTTCCAGAAAACTGGTTATTAAATAATTCTTCTATTAAAGCCACTTTTACATTTGGGAGACAGGGATAGTTAACTATATCCTGAAGCATTTGTCATGATCAGGAAGAGATTATAATTATTATTTTTATTTTTTTTTTTTGCTTTTAGCTAAAACTGTCTTTCAATTTGCTAGACTCTGGCTTCTAATTAGCACAGTTTACTATAAAAGTACATGAAATATACAGTTTCAGACTGAATTGTACTCCACACTTATCAGGTGTGAAACTGTTAAACAGTAATGTCAAGAGCTACTGTTGCTTGGGCCACGTTCCATATTACACCAAGTGGCAAAAAATAACATCTGCCCCATCCTTTCCTGTAGATACCAGCATACCGAGAAGGTGCAGCCAGTGGAGCTGCACTGGTCTCTGAGCTGGATGTCATGTTCCCAGTATGTTCAGGTGAGGGAGAAAACTACAGCACCAACTGCATTCTGGAGGGTCAGAAAGAAAATATCAAAAGCCCAGGCTTTGAGCAAATGTGGAAGACTAACATCTAATTAGTAGTAAAAGCCCTGAATCAAAAAGAGGAAACCTCTGCTGTTACAGAAGGCAGTGGGTGACGGCACCATGGCACCCATCCGGGTCTCTCCTCAGCAGACCTGTTTGGACAGCCGCTGCTGCCTGCTCCTAGCTGAGGAGGATGGGATCTTACTGTGAGGCACCAATGCATGCCCTCCAGGGTCCTTGCCCACAGTGCAAACCAGATACAGGCCTCTGTGAAGGTTGGGCTCAGGCCCCAGCACAGCCTTCCCTGTCTTCCTGAGTTAGGAGCCACAGAAACCTTTTTATACATGAACCAGAGATGGGTGGTGTGTGTGTGTCTGTGTGTGTATGAGAGACAGTCAAAACCCTGGTACACACAGTAGGACAAAGGCAAGAGACATTCCCTTTGTCATAATTCTGTCCCTTCTAAGCTCATTTCTACTTCAGTGGCCTTGTAATTACATGAAGGTCTGAGTCCCTCTTCTAGGAAGTAAAAGCAAACATTTTTTTTACTCTTAAATCCATAGTGAAAAGTCATGCGTATTCCTGTGGTTTAGTAACCTACCTCAAGTCAGAGCTGCAAATAAGCAGCATGATATGAAGTTTGTCAAATGACTTCTCATGCTACAAGAATCACTTTTTTTAAAAGGAGCAGTGCTTTTGCGATCTATCTAAATGTAATGTTCTCAGATTACTCTCCCTCTCCCCTGTTCAATTTGATAACATTTTCTTCATTCCTCTCAGAGTGTTATTATTTTTATTATGTTTAACCATCTGGCCAATAGCTTTAGCAAGTAATTAAAAACCTTATAAGGGGTTTAGAATTTTAATTAGGTTATACAATTTTTGATGAATGGGGAT